AATATGCGTTTTTGCTGCCTGTTGCAGCGCTCTAGCGCTGCACGGCAAAAACGCATAAAAAGCCAGCATTTTAATTTGGTTTTATGCCAAGTTTTAAATTTTTCAAATAACTCTTAAAGATCTGAAGTGTGGCTCCCGCAGTGATAATAGCGGTATTTATGGATATGTTACGGGGCTGACCGCCAGCCATGCTAGAGATGAAGTGTTAACTTCTGCACTGGGACAGCTGATATCTCTACCACTCTTTCTTTTGTTTTAACGGTAAACTGGTCGTGGCGGCATATCAGAGATCCGTCCTCTTCAGCTCGCTTTTAATGCAATTGTCAGACGAGGGTGCTGTCGATGTCATTTCCCAGCAAGTAGTTGCTATTGGTTTGTGCTACCTTTCGGTTTGCTTTCGAATGTTTCCGCCTCTCAATGAGTAAACTGGGCAAGGGTTTTATATTACTTTATGAGTGAAGTGACAATGATGATTTTACATGTATAATCAAGATGATAGCCAATATTACATAAGTATATGTTGTATATATAATATACATACAATGTATACATATACGACATATATACGTAATATATATAATACTACACAGTGGATAAAGCATTTAAAGGAGTAAAGTCAAAACCTCCTTCGTGTTCGCTTTTAGTGACAGGCGGAGATTGTCGGGAAATAGCCGAGTGGTAGCAAATGCCAACAGCAACCCCGCTGGTAAGGCTACTGATGGCTTGAACAGTAAATTACTTGTATATATAAATAATCCGGCAGAAGCATATTGAAAGGATTTTTTAGACTTACGGAAGGATAGCTTTTCGTCTGAAGTAGTATGTTTCCGATTGCAAAATACTGGCATCAAAGTATTACAGATTTCTAATATCACACATTGGCAACGCAGGTGAAACCAATTTTTGGTTTTGTTGCAGATGTCGCTGGAGCAGTATTCACTGTTGAGCATCGAAATAATAACGCAGTTCTGCGAGCAGCTTGCAAAAGTTGTTTCGAAACGTATCCCTGAGAACGCGCCGTATGCATCCCGATTTGTGCAGCTCCTTTCCAAAACGTTGTCTGT